ATTAATTAAGGATTAAGGGACCAAGTCAAGAGGTTTGGGTGAGGGCAGCTAAAGAGCTGCTGTACAGGCTGTGCCAGTGATCTCTGCCCAGTCTATGGCCCTGAGTCAGCCTCAATCTACCATGTGGGAGGCCTAAGAACATTCAATATGACTTGGAAGACGGGCTTTAAAACAAATAGTCTGCCTTTCCTCTTGTTTCCAGCTCTCCAGCATGAAAAACTGATGCTACAAAGGGCTAGGCAAAATGGAATGTGTGTGGTTCTGAGCTCAGCCCAAAGGGCCCTCCTCCACTGAAAGTCTCACTTCCCAGGAGAGAGGATGCCACGATGTAAAGGTTGACACACTCAAGGTTTTCTCTCCAAGCCTCACCTCCTCTATTAAATCTGTCCCCCCACTCCTCTTTAGGTAGAACTGACCTGCTGTCTGCCCTGAATACATATACCACAGATGAATTCTCTCCTGACACCTCGAGTGCCATGATGCCCTGCGAACTCACCTGCTTCCTCCTCCAGCCCCAAACCTCCCTGAGGGTAGACGCTGTGCCTCCCATGTTCCTAGGGTCTTCCTAGCCTGAACACTATGATTTTGCTCTCTGAAAATGTTAGACAAATACTTTTCTCTCCTAATTTCATCAGCTTTACATTCAGAAACAGGTTTACAGTCACAAGGGTTGTAACCTGGGCTCCGTAGGGCTGAATCCAGTCCATCCATAGGGCTACTACCATAGGGCTGTGAATCCAGTCCATCCATAGGGTCCTACAAATCATGGGACCCTGCCAACCATAGGGCCACCAGTGTTGTAGATTTATCACCCATTTCCAGGACAGTAAAATGCCTTGTTTTTAAAAAGAAATAGTAAGACGATTTTCTAAAAGAAGGAAATAAAATGAGAAAGAAACACATTTTTTCTAACTGGCACAAAAGCTCTGTATAGGCTAGTCATGGCCCTATCCATATACAGTTTTTAGCTGGTCAATATAACTTTAAAAATTGAATCAAAATGACTTTAGGCAGGGACATGCTCTCCACCTTGTCAATCCCCACCACTCCCTATGGTCTTATACTCTTAACCTCTGTTATATTTATTTACCACCTAGCCCCAGAAGGCTTATAAGTTTGCAACCCTGCAACATGATATGAAATCTCATAAAGCAATCTCTTCCATCTTTGGGAAGCAAATGTTTTCAAGGTTCTTTATTAGGCTGAATGGAAATCTTCCCAAAGCCTCTGTCTACCCCTCTTATTTCTGGGGTACTCTAGGTCCTATAGTACAAACATGTTTTTCTAAAGCACACTCTCTTACTTATTTGAAGACTATCAGCAGAGTCTGTGTGAGGCCTTCTCTTTTCCATATTAAACATACTGTCTTCCTTCAACTATTTCCTCACATTGAATTCCTTCACTGTAATCCGAATGTGACTTATTATCCCCTTTTTAAAGAGGGGCATCCATACAGGCATGGTCTAATCCCTTGCAATTCAGAGTGTAATCCAAAAGCCAGTAGCATTTGCATCACTTGGGAGCCTGTTACAAATGCACAACCTCAAACCCACCCCACACCTACTGAATCAAGATCCACAGGGGATTCATATGCACACACCTAATTAATGCAGGCTAAGATTATGCTAGCTTGTGAGAGCAACTGTGTTACACTGTCATCCCTGTTTCCTGTTATTTGAAATTCCTGTTTTTTTCCCACACTCACTGCTAAGTTACGTCTTGTATTAGTTTGATTGCAGTATGTGACGATCAGATTACATTTTGATGAGTTACCCACATGCTTAGACTATGAATTTATGGGCAAAACACAGATCATATTCATCTCTATTTTGGGTACCAAGCAAAGGCCCTAGTACATAATAGGTGCCAATATAAGAAGTAACCAAAAAATAAAATAACACTGGTCTAAATGATTAAATAATAATAACTCTCTGCTGAACAGTTCAAGGCATGGCTGGATCCAGGGCTCAAAGATGGTGACAGGGACTTGGATCATCGCCGCTTTCCACCTCTGCTTTCTTGGCATCAGCACCATCCTTGGTCCAGCTCTCCCTTGTGGCCTCAAGATGGCTGCCAGTGTCACTCAGAGCCACACCCTTTCTCATTCTAGTCCAGCTGGCAAAGAGTCTTCTGAAAACTTACGGGGGTAAATATTTCTTTATTCTTTCCTTTTTCAGAAACCTTAGCAAATGTCTCCCCCAATTTCATTAGCCATGATGGAGTTATCAGTTCATTTCAGAGCCGACTACTGGGGCGAGGGGGTTTAATATCCTAATGGGTTTATTTCAGTGAGGACCCACTCATGAGGAGCTAGAAGCAGTTGAAAATTGATGGGAGGGCTCTATCAGGAAATTAGGAAACTGTTTGGAGAGGCGACATGTGTGCTGGGGAGGTGACCCATGGATTCTACCATAATGTTAAACAGGTCTGCATTTCAGTTTCTTTTAAATCTTGCAACTGTTGTTCAGGATATCCAAGATTACAGCAACCACTAGCACAGGTTATGGCCAGAAAACTCTTCTATTTTTAAACGACACACAAACTCTTCTGCGCCATCACATTGTTTCAGTGATCAACTTTAAAGGGCCCTGGCTTACCTCCTCCTGGAATAATAGAGGAGTCACAGGAGTGCTGTGGGCCATTCCAAAAACCACTCCAGAGTGGTTCGCCACACATAATAGAGGGTGCACTTGAAAGGCAGCATCCAATGACCAGTTCTGGTTGAAGACTTTTGTGTTTTTCAAAAGCCCAATAAGCAGCAGAAGTGACCACAATGTGTTTGAAACTCTATAGCATGTGTCTTCAGGAGACAAAGTACCTAAAACTAGATGGAAAGACTTGTAATTTTTTAAATTAAAAACTATAGACAGGAGAGGTAACAAAGTAAAATAAGCATGAATCCTACATTTCTGTTTCAAAAATAAAACCCGAGGTATGTGGAAAATTGTAATATGGAATTCAGAAATCCGCTTTGGCCATATGCTGTACTGCATCTGCTTTCCTTGAGGCAAAAGGCTCTCAAGGACCAGTCATGCTCAGCTGGGAGAGACATAACGCCAATGAGACTGAAGGCGGGCAAGAGGGTACAGAGGGGAAACTGCTGTTTCATCTGAGTGATCAGAGGGCAAACTTCCCACCACCAGCCCCTATGGACACATGCTACTGGTCAAGGTAGTCAGGCAGATGGACCACACAGGCCCATCGCCACTTCTCAAAAGAACAACTTAAACTAAGACCTATTTAACTCTCAGGAAGGGCATGAGTTATGTGACCTTCACAAATGGAAGGCAGCCTAAAACCAGTACCAGCATAGTCCATTCTGTCACAGAAACATTTTGTGTAGCCCCCGGCTCTACCCCTTATTGAAGGAAGGCCTTTCGTATAATCACTTAGTCTCAGCTTAGGTTTCCTCTATAAGAGGAGGCAATAATTCCCCTCTCACAGATAGATGTGAAAATAAAACAGTCCATGTAACAAATGCCTAGAAATGTCCAGGCCAAAGAACGCCTACTAACATCATTTTCTTCCCTGGCCCCTGCTCAGTCCCACGCAGTGCTCTAAGTTTATAAACACACCACTAAAAAAATTTGGTCTCGTAGACCTTCATACATATGTGTTAAGTCATACTTTATCGTACTGCAGTAATTGTATTGGGAGGAAAAAAATTTTTTTTAAATCCTTCGGTTTTCACATAGATGGAAGTGAAATCAACACAAAATGACCAAACAGATCATGGCCTCACCTTTTACTAAATGTAAAGCCTTGGGCAAGTTTAGTTTAATAGAAGGCTTCAATCAATCACAGCTTTTAAAATAGCAGCAGCAACAACAAACATCCCTCCCACTAGACTGTAAAGTCCTGAGGGTTGAGAGCTCATTTGTTCAACTTTATATTCTATTAACATCCCTAGTCAACTGGCCCGCACATATCAGGAAGATAAGCTGCAGTGGCTTGAAGGGTTTATCACTTGAAGGGTCTAAAAGTCTGCCCAATTATAAAATGAAAAATATAAAAATCAAAGTAGAAAGAGGCTGGACCCACTAAGAGGTAGAGTTTTCAAAATCTTTTTTTAATTAATTTTTTTTTTAATTTCTCGGCCTAGAGACAGATCTATCAAGTCTAGCTCTATGATTTCATGATTTCTGGCAAGTTACTTTTTCTGTCTACACTTCAGTTTCCTTAGCCACATAAGGAAGTGAACAAAGTTTTCCAAAATCCTTTACACCTCTAAAATTAGGTATCCACATTTCTACAAACACTTGTGGCAAATCCATGACAAAGGCATGCTGCCAGGCACTGTAAGAGACATGAGAGAGAAGAGACCAGAGCTACCCTTCAATGAGCTCATGGATTATTAAACAATAAAAAACAGGGGCACAAATAGCAGCAATTCAAGGCAGAAAGGGGCAGTGGCTATCAGAGAGGTAGTGATGTGGAACTGTGAGCTGTGGAGACAAGGACTGGCTTTGTGGAGGGGTGGCTTTTGTTCATGCTTCAATGTAGCAAATATGGAGCACCAGTCATGCCAGGCATTGTATCTTAGCACACATACACAAAAAAACCACACACACACAAAAACCACACAACTATGACCAAGACAAACAGAGTCCTGCTCTCACAGTGCCTAAAGGTTGGCTGGCAGGAGGCAGACATTTGGAGAAGGAGGAGGAATTCCCAGCAGAGGGACCTGTGGAGCAAAAACAGGAAAGCAGAGCATCACAAAGCAAATAGGAATGAGTCCATAGCTGTGTTTGCAGAGGAGTGATGATGGTACAGTGGAGTGGCATGAGAAAAGGTAGAAAAGTAGGAGGCAGCTGATGTGAAGTCCCTGAAATGCCAAGCTATGGAGTATGGATTTTAATTGGTCCAACAAAATAACCTAACAATTCTAAGTGACTGACTATACATTAAACTTCCCAGAATCACTAATTTTGTATCCAAATACACACTGCCTTTCTGTAACAAAAAGGAAGACGTTTGAAAGAAAATTGCCAAAAGAAGTAATTTAAATAAATTTATTCATGAAAGAAAAACATCTGAACATCAGGTACAGTCTGATCCACAATGTCGTAACTCATTTGCGGGAGTACTCTTATGCAGTTTGCAAGAGAAATTCCATGTGGAGCATCAGCTGAACATTTATCAAAATTCAGAAAGCCTTCAAACCTGAGTATTACACAATACATAATGACAATGATACAGTAATAAAAATACAATATCAAATACTCACTACTTTGTGAGTTACAAACTACAATATAAACAATTTAGGCCCTTTTTTAAAAAATGAAAAAATATTTCTATTACAGCCTTATTTCAAGCATTTTCAGTTAGATACAGCCTTATATACTTTTAGTCACAATAGATAGCTAAAGAATGTCTTCATAAGTATCTGTAGGTAAAATATATTACTTGCTTAATGTTTGCACTCTGAAGTATACTTTGACGCATACAGGTTCCGATAAGAGAATGAAATTGCTGTGGCAAAATCCTGGCTGATGATCAAGACTTGGATAGTTTTCATATTAAGTTAAAAAAATTTACATCACTGAAAAAAGAAGCAAGGACATATAAAGAAGCATCATCATTCTTTTGCAACGAAGCAGTCTAAGTCCAGGGAATGGGTTTTCCATTTTGAATTCAAAGTGTGTGGTCCCAAAGTTGAATTCTTTCAAATCCAAGGAGCGGCCTGCCACTGTGAGGCAACAGCAATGATGAAGCAAGTTGGGAGGAAAGTGTTAACTGAACTACAGAGATGGTCACTGATAAAACAAGTTCCTAGAAGTCCTCAGGCCCACCCAGAGGTGAAGGGCAGCCAGAACTATCAACACAAAAGAAAAATGCGCTCACTGAACTGCACACATAGAGCTTCTAGGAGGGTTAACAGTTCTTGACATAGGTTCCTGGTTGTAGTTTACAATATCTGCCTTCACCACCCTCTGTCATAAAAGAAAACAGAGTTATTATCAGGACATCAGAACATTTAGAAAGAGCTCCTTAAAGTATATTTTTATTTTCTGAACTCTGCTGAGCTTCTGATGATGGACACCACAAATGAAGCAGGAGTTGATATTAAAAGAATAAGCCAGACAAACAAATGAAGCGTGCTTTTTGTTTTTTTGTTTTCAAGAAGAGAATGGCAACTCAGCTATGGAGTTGTCCCTGGTTTTATGACATTTAACTTGAGGTTATCATAAGTCTAACGAAAAACTGACAAATCAATAAGGAAAAATTAAACCCTGATAATAATTTAGAGCAAAATAATTTAAATGAATCATTCACATGTATTTTAAATCATAGAAAAGAACTCATCATTTCAAAGTAAAAAATAACATTATTGATTAATATTTCCATAAGCCATTATATTTAGCGATACCTTTTCATTGAATGTTTACAGCAGTTTGAGTTTGTAAGAAGACATTTAAATGTTAAAGAGGATTCACATATAAAGCAGAAACATTCTGAGCAACCCATTTTTAAATCTTTTCCAATTTCTAAAACTTTCCTCCAAAATCCCTAACTTATTTCCAAATGGCTCATTATTGGTTATGAATACAACTGTAACAAAATACAGTATAATGAAAAATTTAGAAAATTACTTCATATTCATTTGTAAAATAATTTAAACCAAAAGATACTTTTAACTCTTCCTTCCTTCCCTCTAACACACACTTCAAGGAATATCTAAAATGATACATTTAGCAATATGCTTAATATTCATCTCTAAGTAATACTTTAAAACAAATCCTTTACTGTTTTCAACTCTACAAAGTCTGCACACACAAGCAGACAAAGAAGGGCAATTCAAGGCAAATTTTAAAAATACTCTTTCAATTACCAAGCTATTTCAGGAAAAATGGTAAGGAATGAATAATGAAATAACTGCCTCAATTCTCCACTTCACTGCACATGTAATAAACACAACCATAAAGACAAATATGTTTAAAAGTAACTGCAATGTTATTTTAATTTGTTCCCAATTTCTTAATTCATGTCTCCTGGCAGAGGACCAATTTTTTAGTTCTAAATCAAGACTTAGACGCGATATTAATTTCCAATAATGTACAATAATCATCTGAACTTCCCTATTCATAAGGAATAAAGAACAAGATAGCATTCACTGTTTTTCCCTTCCCACCTCCCCAAACTGTAATAATTTATCCCTTAATACCTGCACTACTGTACTGAACAGATTCTACTCTGAGCAGAGCTGGTATGTTGATTATCTTCTTCCGGGTACTTCACTATTTCTGCCCTGACAATATGCTGTCAATTCCATACAACATAAATGAGACAAAGAATAAAGAATTAAAAAAAAAAAAGACAAAATGGAAAGTATGTTCAATGATTGAATATAGAAACACCAAAGCAGAAACATAAAATTAACATATAAATGTAAACATCTCTCTCTCACACACACACACACACACACACACACACAAACAGCAGAATGTACACATACAAAAGAAAAGAAAAGGAAAGGAACAAAGGCCCAAGAAACATTATTCTTTGTAATTCTATTTAATTACTGAAATAGATATGACCACTAAACTTCCCAAATTGTGAGTTCCATTTTTGATAACACAATCATATATAACACATATAATGCCCAGAATTTCAGAAGACTATGAAGAATTATGAGGTTTTTCTATGTTAAAGTGCAATAAAAGGATTAATTCAATTTCCATTAACAAGATTTACTGAAGATATACTACGTGCCAGTCACTCTATACTGTGAATGTATGGGCGACTTACACAGAATCTATTCACAAGTTGCTGAGGACCCAATGGAAAGAGAAACACATATACAACTAATTGCCATACAAGTTAAACACTTAACTAGTGGACTTATAATATGCTGTGGGAACACAGAGGAAGGAGTAATTAATTTCTTTGAATGTGGGGAGAGGAATGAAGACATCAGAGGAAGCCATATGCCATTTACAATTTTTATATTTAATACTATTTATTACTTGTCCTAGACTTCCTTGTGATGCTCACTCCCCCATTCCTCCCAATCCTAACCTCCATACTTCCAAATTCCATACAGAAACAAACAAATTCAAAATGCAGTTGTAGGTCATGTAAAAAAAATTCACGAGGTACAATATTTAAGTACAACAACTGCTGCTTTCAAATATCTAAGAGTTTTACTAAATAAGAAACGATTTGTTTTTACCTTGTTATATTCGTAATTGCTATTACCTTAGGATAAAAAGACCACATGTGACAAATATGCATGACAGATATAACATGCTACCCAAATATTTTAGATTTAAAACTATCCTCGCTATCCATGTGATTGCAAATATCTTATTTCAGGACACTCATCCTTCATAATAGCATCTATTAATTTACTAAGATAGACAGAAAGGCATCTTAATATGAGCTTCTATCTGTGATTACATTTATAAATAAAGATTCTATAAACAATTGAGAGTAAATGAATAGGATGCTGAGGCATACGAACATATTAGCCTTGGGTGGCTTCTGCTTAAGTTCTCTAGCAACAAGCAGCATTAACTTTTGGACAAGACTCATGATTTACTAGGCACTCAGCCTGATGCTATCAACACAAGCATTACCAACTGCCAAATGAGGTATGAGTGGGGGGTACATCAGTGAAATATTGTATACCATTATCTAACCTCCCCAAACCTAACTGTTTCATGCCAAACTATGGGTTACAATGAAGAGATGGGATTTTCATAATCAGTAAGCAACTCGTTAATCCAACAAAATGTTGGTTTAAGTCTTATCCTAGAAACACAACCGGATTACTGTCCTGTGCTCTAGACAATTTGGTCCAAGAACTGACTAACGTAAATGACTTGGATTTCATTATTAATTTTCATCAAATTAATCAAGAATTAACAAGGCAGCATCACTCTCAGGGGCTTTGACTCTTTGACATAAAGCTTTGTAAAGTGTTTCCGAACTGTAACCCATAACCAAGGCTCTGCAGATTCCAAATTTCACTTTCTATGATTAGAAAAACATAATTTCCATGTCATAAACTTCACGGTAGGTGGTTTCACTGTAGTCAGCTTATTTAAAAGTCATTTATTGATGTTTTTAGAGAAAATGTTACCTACAAAATACCAACCTTTATTTTTAGAGCCACAAAGTATACTCAATTATTCTCTGCTATTAGTTGATGAAATGAAAATAATGAAGTGGCCCTAAGAGGAAAAGTGAACACAAGCTTAACCCTGATATTTTCAAAGAGCATTTGCCAAGTGGATACTGGAAATGGAAGCGGTAGCAATGGACGGCATAAGCAAGAAAGCAACCTATGGGTTGGGGCACAAGGTGTAAGGAGTATAGATGGACTCTCGGAGAGATTAAACTAAAGATAAATTTGGTCAACTGTGCAATTGCACCTTACTCCAGATAATAAGGAACATATTTACCACTGCAAAGGCCATAGTTTGTCATGCCCAGGATATGGAGTAAACACACCCTGAAGGCTAAAACATTTGTCACTATCATTCATTCAAAGCCAACCACTGTCCCAGATATTGCAGACATTTAGGTAAATAATGCACAATCTCTGTTTCTTGAGATAATAAGAGTCTAGCATACAAAACAGATTTTAAACTATTACAGAATATTCTGACTGGTATACATTCAAAGTGCAACAAGATTACAGAATACAATTTAAAGCATGGATACAGGATACAACCTGTTAAAAAGTAAACCTACATGATCTCTAAAGTCCCATCTGGTTTTGAAATTTTACTTAAAAAATTAATTTAAAAGGTGAATAGGAAAGAGAAAAAATAGTATGTGATATGAAAATCCATTAAGCAACGTTCAATATCTGAGAGTTAGAGTAGTATGCACAAAATGAGAAAATATGCTCCTCAAGAAAACAAGTGGTCTTTAGGATAAGAAAGAAATCCCAGGACAGTTTTCATAAACATACTGGAGAAAATAATCATAAAAAATTAACACATGGGTAAGAAGAATCTGAGGAAGATCAATATTCAGGTAAAGCTAAAAAGCAGAAAGGACTCTTAATGGTTAAAAGGGTACTGTACAATAATATGCCAATTAAGATAATTAAAATCTTGAGTATGTCTATTACACGCCAAGCCCTACGTGAGATACTTTCAGATACAGTCTGAAAATAGTTTGAGGGGACAATAAGGAATATATATTTTTAGCAAGTTTAATGAATATCTCAGACATGATAGAAATTTTTTTTGGTATTTTAAAAACTAATACATTCCTAATTCAAATCAAGTAGATATTCATAGTTTATTAATTGGCAAGTAAAAATGTTGAGGCTTAAAAATGTATTAAGAACTCTTAACACCAAGTAGATACAGCAAAACTTCCTCGCAATTCAGTCTGAAGGACACAAGACAGGACTAAAAGGACTATGCTTTTTCTTTATCAATTATCTAATGCATTCTTAAAGAGCTGATGGCTGGATTTCCTAAACAACAGCAATTGTAAATTTATTTTTTCTCCCAAAAGTCTAGGCACTTTGCAAATAAAAAATCTGGACAATCTGGGAAACTATAACACTTGTTAACAACAGTATCAATTCTTACAATATCTTAGAGGATAATGGTTGGTCGGGGAGAAAGGGGAAGACTACATAAATGATGCAAATGAAACTATTAACCAAATTGGGAATTGTGGAAAAAGGACCTATAGTGTTCACTGTTTAAATGTTTGGCTGCCGCACTTATTCCGGGAGCTCCTTGAGGATAGGGACTTTCTCTTATTCATTTCTGTATCCCCAGATTCTACTGTGGTCCCTGGCATTACACAGACCCTCAAAATATGTTTACTGTGTTAATAAATTGCATTCACTTTCTTTTCTCTCTCTTCCTTTTCCTTGCAAAGCTTACAAAGTGTGTTGATAACTCATTTTATATAACTCCCAAATAAGAGCAATCTAGGTTAGAAATAAACTAGCAGAATCTCTTTAAATAATCAGTGAATGGAACTAGGACTAAAACCTCATTGTAAACACTTATGTCGCAAAGTAAATTATTATAGTAGAGCATCAACATCAATGTGACTGGTGAGTCTGCCATTTAACTCCTTCTCTATAGAATAATATAAAGTACTTTCAAAGATTCCCTTGAATCCCCCCAGTAATCTTTCAAATGTCGCAAAAGCCACATGCAGTGTGTGTGTGTGTGTGTATATGTATGTATGTCTGTGTGTATATATATGTGTGTGTATATATATGTGTGTATATATATGTGTGTGTGTGTGTATATATAATCTGCACTTCCTAGTCTTTTAGATGAACTTGCAAAAATGTTTCCACTAAGAAATATGAATTGTAAAATCAATAATTTAATTGGCAAAAACACCAAATTCATCAGGATCAAGAAAGACTAATGAGGCTTCTTGCTATATACAAAGAATTTTGACAAACATATAGAAGAGTGCTGCAGTAACTTGAATTCCCTTTCAAATGAATGCATTAAGAGTAAATGCCACCAACAAACTGAAGATAGAATTAAATCTCAAAGCATAATAAGCAAGGTGGATGTGCAGGGAGGGTAGAGAATTATGTAATTAACACATCTAATATCTCTTTATTTAAAATACGCCAGGATATTAAGCCCATATCCAAAGTCAAAATAGTAACTCTGTTGATCTTGCAACACGAGGGAGCTAATGTTAATAAAGCTTTCCCCAAATTTTGCCTCCAGTTGTTTCATCTCTCCAGAGGTCTCCTTGTATCTGATCACCGCTACACAGCTCAGGCAGTACAAGGAATTCTTCCTCAGTGCGGCCCTCTCACCTGTGAAGCACCAGTCCACCATTCCCTCTTTCAGAAAAACCACAATCATTGGTTTCCCCTGTCTTCATTCCTCCAAGCAAGAAACCTCAGGGTTATTATCTTGGACTTCTATTCTCTCTTATCCAGTAATTCCACAAGTCCTATCAGTTCCCTCTTTCCCTTCCACCTTGACTTTGGCCATTTTCACATGGTAGCAGTAACTCAGTCTCCTTACTTCAATCTCCCTCCTATCCAATGACATACAAAAATATCCCATTAGATTAATTCTATCTAAAAACTGCTTTCATCTATTGCCCTACCTCAAAATGATTATAGGTCAAATAAAATTAATCAACTTGGCATTCATAAATCCCCAAAATCTGTTCTCAAACTCTTTATACTCTGACACAAATGGTCATTTATTTTAACCAAACTGCTCTTCTGTTTCTAAAATACAACCTAAGCTTTTCTACCCAGGTATATTGTTGATATCAGCTCCTCTTTCAGCCATTTTCTCCCTTCCCACTCCAAACTGCCCAGTACACTTTCCCCCAGTATAGTAGAGTGGAAACACCAAGGGCACTGGTGTCAGAGAGACCTGGGTGCAAATTCTGGCTCCACCAGTGCCCAACTAAGGGTTAGTGATCAAGTTACTGAATCTCTCCACAGTCTCAGCTTCCTGATCATAAAATGATAAAATTTTACCTGATCCAGGGAGTTATGAGGATTAACTGAGATAACACAGTCCCCCTGGCACATAACCTATTAATTTTCTTTACTGAAAGCAGGGACATTTTAAAGTCTTTTAATTCTTTTTTAGACCCACCACTATACTGAGTATACAACATATGACGAATAAATCACTTATGATAATCACAGACTGTCTAATTAAGCAGAGACAAACATTATTTAGACAGAGAAGCTAAAAAGCAAAGGAATTACTTGACCTCTGGGATCCAAGGTCTGTGTGATCAAGCAAATCATGGTGACTTCTCTTTCTTATATTCTCCTAGATCCAAACCAAGTAACCACTTTTTATGTGTCTGGGAGCTATTTAAACATCACAAAGTATCTTAGCACTGTATCTGGCCATACCAAGTGCTAAATAAAACAAATGTCTTTGAATGATGGGAATTAAAATTAGCAAACGTTTAGCATTTCAAATATTTTAATCAAGTCCTAGAAACATCCACATCAGTATAACAATTTCAAATATTTGCTTCAATCATTTTAAAACACACACACACACACACACACACACACACACACACAGAGGGACCATGAGAAAAAGATACAGAACTAACTCTAAAAGAATTAAAGAAAAATTTAAGGATGGGAAAAGATAATCAGACTTTTTTAGTTGCACAGACTTTTTTAGGTGCGAATGGGGTGGAAGAAATTGAGGAAAAATGTAATTAGTTTGTTACTTCTAACCAAACCACTTCTGAAGCATAACTTTTTAGGCGCTTGCTCTGATTTTTCATTCTATCAGACATATGAATTAGTGGGAAATTATAGTGGTACTTTAAAGTTCTTGGCTACTGATATGCATGTTTTTTTCTTAGTCTAACAGAACTATCTAGGAATAGTGAAAAAACTTAGAAATCCTTACTAATTAATAACACAACTAAACTGACAACAAAACAACATCAAAAACTAATATCATTACAGTCAAGGATGTTTTAAAATTGAATAGACGCTCCATAAGGATTTAAATAAAGAAGTACCAAACAATGTGGTCAGCACCTAAACTCATTAGTTAACCACTAATAATTTTTTTTATACCAGTATCTTTTTCCCAACAAAAGAGACAAAATGAGGTTTCAAGGGTATCATAATTTGGCAAAAAGTTAACATAAAAAGTTAACATTCTCCATCTTCTGCAATAAACACTGAGTCATACATACAATCTATTCCCAAAGCTTTTAGAGACACGTACACAGAAGGCATAAATGGGTAAGAATTTATGGGTGAAAATTAATGCCTTGTAAGAAATTCATTAATTTTTTAAACATAAAGTTCAAGGTAATCACCTGTGACTGTTCTATTTCCGCTTTGTTTAATTTGATCCCAAGGATTTCAGCAGCAACTTTCTGAAAGCACAGGAAGACCTACATAACAAAAATGGGTTTAAATGATATAAGAGTCATGCTTATCTTTAAATAAACAGAATTTTTTTAAAAATGATAAACAGCAATAATTGCAAAAATATGATATAGCAGGTGATTCCAAAAATACCTTTGTCAAATGTAGCAACATTTTAAATATAATACTTTTTAAATTATTAAGCCATAATTCAAAACTCCATCCAATTCAATGAATTTTCTCCAAACACACACATTAAAGATTTAACATGATGATTACAGCTACCGCTTTAAAAAACAACAAAACAATCTTACTTACTAGTATAAAAACTCCCATACTTACTGAAGAAAATAAAAATAATCTATACTTTACCACCCTACTTTTCATTGCCAATTTTATCTTGGTCCTTTTAGCCGCCTGTGGCCTATCTTAAAAGGTCTTGCTTTCTAACACTTTAATACTTTCTGTGACTTTCACATCATTCCGACAAATTCTCCATGTATCTCGAGTAAAGCAACTTGGTACTATTTACTATATTTTATCAGTTCAAAGGAAAAATATATGCCATTACGATTAAACAAAAACAGACACATATTTTTCTATAAATAGCCTTTCCACACATAGCTAGCTTATGTCAGGTCTACTATAATTACTAGAGTTCCAATCCTGACATTTAGTGTAGTATAACTATCTTTTCTTCATAAATGTCCTACCATATTCTTATCCCTACTTATCACATGCTTACAGAATATTTATCAAAACTTTGTTAATTTTTATTTCTAACAAAAAATGGATACATATTTCTGATAGCCTTATGCCGTTTGTACCCTAAGAAGCATAATATATTTTAGTTCATTGATGGTCAATGTTCAAGGAACAATAGGAAAAGTACTGTGGTGGAGTGGAGAGAAAGAGTGGTTCTAAAAGAAGACGAGCAAAGAGATGAGGACTGCAAAGCATGTAGAATCTGGTAGGCTACTGGAAGGCCTTTGATGTTTATTCCAAATGAATGGAAAGCATGGGAGGGTGGCCCAATGTGACTTTTATTTTAACAGCATTAGTCTGGTTGTTTGTATTAACATTCACTATAGGAGACCAAGGGTACAAAAAGAGAATCAGCAAAGACACTAATGTAAAAGATTATGGAGGCTGAACCAAAGTGGTAGGAGTGGACACAGTAAGAAATAGTCACCAGGTTCTGGATATATTTTCAAAGTACAGCCAATGGGATCTGGTGACAGATGTGGGGTATGAGAGAAAAAGAGGAGTCAAGAAAGGCTCCAAAATTTTTTTGGCCTGAGCAACTGGTAGATCTGCTATTTATTAAAGTGGGGAAGACTGTGAGAGATTTTAGGAGGGAATATCAAGAGCTCAGTTCTAAACATGTTAAATTGGGCAGCCTATTAGACATCTAAGTGGAGATGCTGCACAAGCAGTTGGATATAAGAGTCTAGAGTTCAGGGGAAAAGTCTGAGCAAAGCCAGAAGACTAAATAAAGCCATTATGGGAATACATGTAGAAAAAGAGATATCAAAGGACTGAACCTTAGTTGGTTGGAGAGGTAAGAAAATTAGTCAAAGGGACTGACAGAGTAGTTAGTGAAGTAGAAAAAAAAAAAACAGGAGGCATTGTATCCTGGAAGCTAAGTGCAGAGAGTATTTCAAAGAGGAGAGAGTGATCAGCAATTATTTATGTTGCTACTTAGTCAAGTAAGATGAGGGCTGAGTACTGATCATTGGATTCAGCAAAAAGGAGGCCATTGATGACCTGGATAATAGCAGTTTGGGTAAAATACTGAGGGCAAAAGTCTGCTGGAACTAGAAGAGAAATTGGGAAAAGAAGAACTAGAGACAACTCTTTCAAAACATATACTGGAAAGTGAAGGAAGGAAATGAGGCAACAGCTAGAGAAAAAATGTGGCATCAAGAGCTTTCTTGTTTTTAAGATAAAAGAAGTCATAATATGTTGTATGCTGAAAGAATAATCCAGTAGATGGAAAAAAAATAAAACATATGAAACAGAACTGCTAAAGCAATATCCTTGATTCAGCAAAGATAAATGGGACTAGCACACAATGGAGAAGTTGGCCCTAGCTAGAATAGATCCCATAGTAACCACAGAGAAGACAGAAGATATGAGAACAGATAGAGTAAGCAGGATGAGGTTAGACCTGGTAGCATCAGTATGTAGAAGTTGTCTTCTGTTTGTTTCAAATTTCTTATAAAATAGGAAACAAGGTCATCAGCTGATAGAATAGAGGAGGATAGTTTGAACACTTCTGAAGAGAGAAGAGAAGCTATGAAATAGTCATTGACTGGGCACAGTGGCTCACGCCTGTAATCCCAACACTTTGGGAGGCTGAGGCAGGTGGATCACGAGGTCAGGAGTTCAAGATCAGCCTGGCCAGGATGGTGAAACCCCATCTCTACTAAAAATACAAAAAATTAGCCGGGCGTGGTGGTGGGCACCTGTAATCCCAGCTACTTGGAAGGCTGAGGCAGAGAATTGGTTGAGTCCAGGAGGCGGAGGCTGCAGTTAGCTGAGATCACGCCACTGCACTCCAGCCCAGACGACAAAGTGATACTCTGTCTCAAAAAAAAAAAAAAAAAAAAGTCACCTAGCTGAGGGAAGAGGTGGTAGACTAGGGATATAGGGCATAATTACTGAGCAGTATTAAGGGCCCACTTGAGATTAGGGATTGTGAACTTCAAGTGAAACCTCCAGCATACCTCTGTGCTTTTCTCTGGTCATGTTCATGAGCATACCCATGAAAAAGCAGAGGCTTGGTTTAAACCAGAATTAAGATTTAGCCAAGCAGGTCTGAGAAAGTGAAAGAGGAAAAAGGGAATTGAGAGTATGTGCATGGCATGATTTGGACTGGCCATGAGATTTAAGTTCAGAAGAGAGAAAAATGAAGACATGAAAGGAGGTTAAGATTTTGCAAAGGTGTTAGGATCAATGTCTTGTAGGTCTTGCTAGGGTTGAGAATGGTTGTGTTAGGACATTCAAGGATGTGAAACAGAAGATGGTTGGTGGTTAGTGATTAAGATGCCTGATACTGAGGTAATAGAAGAGCCACAGTAATTTGTAATGACGTGATCTGTGGTATGCAAGAGTGACTAAGGTGGAGTCAGGAAGAAACAAGGATACTGAAATCACTAAGAATTATGACATAGGTAATATCAGAGAAAGAACAGTAAGCCAGGAGCTCAACTCCTCAAACAATGAGAGGAAGTTACCTGGAGCTAGAGATGATTACAAGTCTTAAAGTAATTTCATAAGAACAAACCATTTCAAAGTATCACTTTAAAAAAAATGAAGTTTTTTAATAGTGGTTCAATATAAGCACACAAAAAACACTAAGTGGCAAAAAAAATACTAAGTGGTTAAAAACAAGTGAAAACACTACAAGTTAAAATAATTCTGAAATAGCAAAAAGACCCCTGGGAAGATTAAGTGAGGGCAGAAGCCCAGTGAATCCATGGATGAATTTATCTACAATTATTGACATTACATTTTTTTCAAAGGCATAGATAGGTGTATATGTGCCCATATTCACATTGTCTGAGGCGAAAGGATTCCAAGAGTCCAAATTTTTTAATGAGTCTTACCAAAAGAAAGATCAAACCCCAGTCATATTATTTAATATTTATTTTAGGTATAAAACTATAAAGGATATTACAGAGAAAAACATCAAAAATATTAAACCACAGAAAAATTTCAAACTTCTTTTAGTTGAAAAATGTCAACTGGAAAAATAGTCAAATGGGGGTCGGTGAGGATTATTTGAAAAAACTGTGACACATGACTATTAGCACTAACATAAAGATGGTCATAGAAAATTTCTAATGCAATAGAAAATTATAACAAGTAAAAAGCACAAAGTGAATAACTAATAAAACTTTAAAAATTTCAACCTCAATTATAATCAAAGAAATTCAAATTTAAATAGTGAAGTATCTTTTTTCTTTTGGGGGGGCCTACCAATTTGACAAAGATTTTAAAATAAATACATAAATAAATCCTGAATGTTAAAAGGATGTAGTTATGGCAATCATACAATGCTGGTGATAGTATGAATTTAGTCTTTCTGCTGGTGATTTGGCAATGTTTCAATCCCCTTTCAAGGAATCTTTCTACCTGAAGAAAATAACCAAAACATCAAAAACTTATGGACAAAATTTTATATTAGAACATTATGTTCAAAACTTAACAACCTGTATGTTCCACAATAAGAATAAGACTGAATAAATTTTTGAACATTTATTAAATGAATTATTCAATCTATTATTAAATGACATGGAAACAATAAAAATATGAAGTAAAAAGTAAAATATAAAATTATTTCTATATTATAATCGTAATTTTTAAAAATAAATACAGGCTTGTGGTTAAGACTGTGAGTCCCAGAGTGTCACTATTTGCCTTTACAAATCCTCTCTCCTCCACTTATTAGCTGTGTAATCTGGACCCCATTACATAATTTCTCTAAGACTCCTCTATAAAACGGAGATAATCAGAGTAGTACAATGTCTATAACAAAGTAAGCACTCAATGAATGCCACCTCCTAGCCACAGGCAACAGTACTAGTATGAGCATCAGGAAAAGAGACTAGATGGAATCATACGAGGTTATGAGTGGTTACCTCTAGATACTGACATTATGGGTGGTTTATATTCATTTTAATTCCCTTTTTAAAAATAACCATAAAATTATGTTAAATAAATTATAAAAGTAATATAACCAGAATAAACATGTTATAACTAATCTAAGGAATTTCATGTTTTCAATAGGAATTAATTTGTTCCAAAGGTTAAATAATGGAAGCATACTTCCTAGGAATGTTAGTAAATAAAAGTAAAACATCACCTATAATATGCAGTATTCATTATTTTACTTACAGAGTCTCCTGTCTTGGCTGAGACAAAGTGGCTACTAAAACCATTTTCCTGGCAAAACCGTAAGTGTTTTTCAGGTTTTATTGTTCTCATATGCTCCAAATCAACTAGAAAGGTGTTAAAGAGAGAAAACAATTCAATATTAGAGTCTATCAATACATTTTTAACATGCTTGACTTGCTTTCCAATATTATATTCCAGTTTAGACACTAGCTGTGCAAGCTTGGACAATTTATTAAACCTCTTTATGACTGAGTTTCCACATCTATAAACTGGGAATAATAAATATACCTATTTTGTATAGAGTTATTTGATAATTAATCTATGTATAATGCACAATGACCAGCAAATAAGTGCTAAAAAAAAATGTGAGCTATCATTATTATTATCATCTGTATAAGTTCAGGCACACTGATGATGCGCAAAAAAGATCTACTTAATATAGTACATTTAAACATGGTGATTAATTGAAGGCAAGTTGTACTTACCCAAGCATATTTGGCTTGAAACAGTTTAATTACTTTAATAATTAATAGTTAGCTCTGTAATCTCTATAAGTTTGAATGTTAGCACAAATACATAACTTTCTGCTTAAGAGATCAATATTACATTGGGTGTTTATATTAATTTATAGCCATAGTTTAATTTCACAAAGACGTAGTTCAGTTGTTTTCCATCTAGAGTATCCATTTTGAGAGTAAGGGGCAAGGATATATTTCCTTGAATAGTTGTAGGTGCTTTAAAGCAAACCACAGTACTCACATGCAATACTGGTTTTATCCAGCACAGTCTATTTTTCCAAATGTGATCCTTTATTTAACAGTTTCTCTTTTTACAACACTACAGACCCTATAAGGGTGTTTATTCAATGCCGTCAAATTATAAGGCAAATATATTCACAGGATTTAAGGACAACTAGGCTCTTTGAGTCAATATAGGAAAAAAAAACCTTAAACTGATTTCCTGAGGAAGGGACCCAACTGACTTGTAAAAACTTGTAAATTTGCAAATCTAGTAAGCCTACATAATAGTGCCAATTGATTATCAACTAAAAAACGCACTCATACTACATAAAAGACTTTATTTAAAATTATATTGAAAGTCTTTAGTTTGTAGGCTCAAGGGTTCTCTCTCTAGGAGATTTTTTTTTTAATCTAATGGGGTATTCCTGAGCCCCATTTATATTGTTTACCTTGGAAAATACAGAATTTTTTTTTTTTTTTGAGACGGAGTCTTGCACTGTCATCCGGGCTGGAGTGCAATGGCGTGATCTCGGCTCACTGCAACCTCCGCCTCCCAGGTTCAAGCAATTCTCCTGCCTTGGCCTCCCGAGTAGCTGGGATTACAGGCGCCTGCCACCACGCCCAGCTAATTTTTTGTATTTTTAGTAGAGATGGGGTTTCACTATGTTGGCCAGGCTGGTCTTGAATTCCTGACCTCAAATGATCCGCACACCTCGGCTTCCCAAAGCACTAGAATTACAGGCGTAAGACACCACGTCTGGTCTTTTTGGTTTTTTTGTTTGTTTGTTTGTTTGTTTGTTTTTTGCTTTTCTGGCTACAGTGCTATTCCGTAAACATCACTATCTCCTTATTTACAAGAACAGGCCAAGGAATGTCCAGATACCACAGGCATCAATTTGTGTAAGACTAAAATACTAAGCTATAAGCAATGACATTTACATATCCAATTTATCATAATATTGAAGCTAAAAAAATTTTCTAATTCAACAAGAGTAAGAACAAATCTTGTCGCCAGGAAAAATTCCCATTGAAGTCACCACCCATTTAAATCACCATCCATTAAATAAATAAATAAATAAATATAAAAGTTGTGTCACTTAATGTGTGTGTACATTTGTTTTTTCTAATGGTTTATTGTTTTTTCTTTCTCTTTCTCTCTCCTTCCTTCCAAATCTCCATGTATCACTTACTAATCAAACGAAAGTTTTTTTTCCTAACAAATATAACCATGGAAAGACTAGCACTACCATTGGTCAATTTTTTTAAAAAATGATTTATTCAACAAACATTTATTGAGCATCTATCATATGCCAGGTATTGTGGTAGGTAGTGATATGGTTTGGCTGTGTCCCCACCCAAATCTCATCTTGGGTGGCTGTGTCCCCATCCAAATCTCATCTGGAAATGTAGCTCCCATAATCCTCACAGGTCTTGGGAGAGATCTGGTGGGAGGTAACTGACTCATGGGGACGGCTTTTCCTGTGCTGTTCTCATGATAGTAAATAAGTTCTCATGAGATTTCAGGTTGGAAAGTAGTGCTCACAGCCAAGCACCAGCCTGTCTGCTCCCTCGCCCCACTGAACCCTGCCAGCCCCACCAGCTCCAGAGCCCTATCCCTGCACCAACACTGCTGCAAGAGTAAAACTAGGAAGGGAGAACAATGAACCTCCCCTACCCTGAGCAGCCACCCCCACCTGAGTGATCATGCACAGAGGGCAGACACAGACCTGCACCTGCCAGCACCAGACCCCCATGCTAACACCACCACCAGCATCACCGTGGACACAGTCGCCAGCAACAGGGGCCCTGTGTCCCTCAAAGCAATAATGCCTCTGCTGCCGCTGTGAATGCCTGCAGGGATGCAGGCACCTGCTAGCACCCTGCTGCAGTTGATGAGTGTGTACCCCACCGTGCTGCTGCTGCTGCTGTGCTGCTAATACATGCAAACAAGGACAAATCCCACTGCTGCTGCCTTACGAAACACTTTGGCTAGTACCACCCACTGAAGTGTAATGACCAGTGGTCCAGGAATACGTAGGTCCCACCAGCACAGTGGGTTCCTACCCTCGACGAGTCAGAGAACAATGTTGGGGCTGGATACAAGTCCCCCAGATTTAGAGCATGAAGTCCAGAAGTTGGGAGCTGAGGTTTGGCCCCCTAAAATCTTCCAGAAATGAAGCCAGTTGACTGAACCCACCTTATACCACAATTAAACTCTCAAGGTCAACAAATAGGATAAAAGAAAAAAAAAATCCAAAGATCAGCAATATCAAAGATTGAAGGAACATAAGCCCACAAAGATGAGAAAGAATAAGCACAAGAACTCTAACAACTCAAAAAGCCAGAGTACCTTCTTCCCTCAAAATGACGGCACTACTTCTCCTGCAAGGGTTCTGAACTGGACTGAGATGGCTGAAATTACAGAAATAGAATTCAGAATATGGATAGAAACAAAGGTTATTGAGATGCAGGAATATGTTGAAACCCAATCCAAGGAAGATCCAAATGATACAGGAGCTGAAAGACAAAATAGCCAGTACAGAAAAGAATGCAGCCGACCTGACAGAGCTGAAAACACACTACAACAATTTCATAATGCAACTGCAACTATTAATAGCAGAATAGATCAAGCTTAGGAAAGAATCCCAGAGCTTGGAAACTGGCTTCCTGAAGTAAGTCAGACAAGAATAAAGGAAAAAGAATGAAAAAGAATGAACAAAATCTCTGAGAAATATGAGATTAAGTAAAGGGAACAAATCCATTACTCATTGGTGTCCCTGAAACAGATGGGGAGACTGGAAGTAACCTGGAACACATATTTCAAGGTATCATCTACGAGAATCTCCCCAACCTAGCAAGAGAGGCCAACATTCAAATTCAGGAAATGCAGAGAACCCCAGTAAGATACTTCACAAGAAGATCATCCCCAAGACACATAATCATCAGATCCTCCAAGGTTGAAATAAAAGGAAAAATGTTAAAGGCAGCTAGAGAGGAAGGTCAGGTCACATACAAAGGCAAGCCCATAAGACTAACAGACCTCTTACCAGAAACCCTAAAGGCCAGAAGAGATTGGGGGTTAATATTCAATGTTCTTAAAGAAAAGAAATTCCAATCCAGAATTTCATATCTGGCCAAACTAAGCAAAAAAGAAATAAGACCCTTTTCAGACAAGCAAATGCTCAGGGAATTCTTAGCAGACCTGGCTTATAAAAGCTCTTAAAGGAAGCAGTGAATATGGAAAGGAAAGACCACTACCAACCACTACAAAAACACACTTAAGTACACAGACCAGTGATACTATAAAGCAACCACACAAAAAAGTCTGCATAATAACCAGCTAACCTCATGATGACATCCACATGCGAAAGAATAAAAACAGACTCTTATCTTTCACCATAAGCAAAAATCAACTCAAAATGGAGTAAAGGCTTAAATTTAAGACCAGAAACTGTGAAACTCCTAGAAGAAAACAGGAGAAATGCTTACAGACATTGGTCTGGGCAAAGATTTTTATGGATGAGGCCTCAAAAGCACAGACAACAAAACCAAAAAGTAGACAAATAGAATTATATCAAACAAAAACCTTCTACACAGCAAAAGAAACAATCAACAGAGTAAAGAAATAACCTGCAGAATGGGAGAAAATATTTACAAACTATGACAAAATATTAATATCAAGAATACACAAGGAACTCAAAAAACCCTGCAAGACAACCTAGGCAAAACCATTCTGGACATAGGAATAGACAGATATTTCAGGATGCCAAAAGCAACTGCAACAAAGCAAAAATTTACAAATGGGATCTAATTAAACTAAAGAACTTCACCACAGCAAAAGAAACTATCAACAGAGTAAACAGACAACCTACAAAATGGGAGAAAAGTTTGCAAACGATGCATCTGACAAACATCTAATATCAAACATCTGTAAGGTATTTAAATAAATTTACAAGAAAAAAAACTAACCCAATTAAAAAGTGGGTAAAGGACCTGAACAGACACTTCTCAAAAGGAGACATACATGCACCCAACTAACATGAAAAAAAGCTCAACATCACTGATCATTAGAGAAATGCAAATCAAAACCACGATGAGATAACATCACACACTAGTCAGAATGGAAAAATCCAAAAAATAACAGGTGCTGGCAAGATTGCAGACAAAAGGGAATGCTTACATACTGTTGGCGGAAGTATAAGTTAGTTCAACCATTGTTGAAAACAGTGTGGTGATTCCTCAAATACTTAAAACAGAACTACCATTCAACACAGCAACCCCATTACTGGGTATATGCCCAAAGGAATATAAATCATTCTATCTTAAAGACACTTGTAAGTATATGTTCCTTGCAGCACTATTCA